GATGTTTTTTTATTGTTTATATAAAATAACTGCATATTTAGATAAACCTATTGCGTAAGTTAATTATCATTTTATTCAAAGATTACTTTCCAAAAAACAAAATCATCCTTTACAATTTAAAGCTTTTTTCGAAGACGAGTTATAATAGTTTCGGTGATAGAGTAATATCTCTACAAAGGAATATTCTCTTCGCCTCAAATTTTAAGAATATTTTCAATTTAAATTTTTACAACTATAAAAATGATCATTATTATAACTTTTAATAATTAGTGGAATTCAAAATAGAATATTTTAATTAAATTTTAACATTTAAATCTTCATGTTTTTTTTAAAGCCTTAAATTATACCCAGTAATTGAAGAAATTGTTAAACTTTATCCAGAATGAATAGTTTATCCATTTAAATAAAGTTATGAAACATTACAATATTCAATTCAAGATCCAATATTAAAACAAAATCTTGAATTAATTCAACAACAATTAAATCCTCAACAATAATTTGATAGATGGTGAAAAGAATTATTTCATTTATTAACATCTCATTAAAATACACAAGATATTAATAAACTTCAAGAACATTTAATTAAATTTAAACAAATACTTTTTTCTCATATAATTAATCTTGATGAAACAAATTATGAAGAATTAATATTATAAAATACACAAGATAATAATGATATAGATTATAATACATTATTAAAACCTAAAATAACATAAATAAGAATATTATTTTAAAATGTTGTTGAAAAATAATTTAATGATTTATTTGGTAAAAATGGTGAATTATTATCAACAATATCATTAGGTGATACACGTTTAATATTAGGTAATATATCATTAAAATTAATAAATATTATACAAGATAAAACAAATATAAATCATTATTCAACATGCTTTTCATCAACATTTCGACAACAAAATCTTCTATTAGATAAATCATCTATACGTCAATTAGAAATACCTGGACAATATACAACTAAAAAACAAAAACCATTAATTCAACATCATATTCAAATTGTTGGTTTTGATGAAAAACTTTTGGTACTTGATTGATTACGTTTACCAAAACGTATAACAATACGTGGACATTATGAAAATGATTATAGATTTTTAGTTAAAGCTGGAGAAGATATACGACAAGATCAACGTATTCAACCTTTATTTTCAATTATCAATGATCTTTATGATAATTATCCAAATTCTAATCAATCAAATTCAGCTTATATTGCTCTACGAACTTATAAAGGTAATTAGTTGTTAAGTCTTTGATCAAAGAATTTCTTTTTTCTTCTCAAGTGTAGCGACATGTAGGAATAATAGATTCAAAAAAAAAACAATCAGAAAAAGTGGAATACACCAAAAAACATTAACTTTCATTAGACTCGATTTTTCATTGTACTCAGAGACACGTACTCGTAGTTCGAACAGTCAATACTTTTCAAGTCTTATCCATAATAGAAGGGCAAGGATCTTCTATTGCGAGGGGTTCTACTCGGACTTACTCACTTCTAGTTTTACTCCTCATATAGTTTGTACAAAATCTATTTATGCCTTTTTTTTTAAAATTTTCTTTGATTGTTAAGAGAATTGTTTTTCCAATATGACAACAAAACACCATAAATACAGGTTTATATTCAGAGATTATGATCACATTTTCGTCAAATTCCGATGCTTTCATCTCGTTAGTGGTTTCGAATAATCTAATCTGCGTGATTCTATTGAGATGAAAATTTCTGAATAGAAATCTGTATTTATGATGTTTTACCATCATGTCGAAAAAAAAGAACGATCTTTTTAATACTTAAACAAAAATTTTTTTAAAAAGCGTGTAGAATTTTTCTTTTTGTAACCAATTTTGAAATTTTGTAATAGAACAAATCGAGATGATACCATAAGACTGATTATCTTTATCAAATAAAACGATTTTTTATAATATTATGTCTAATTATGAGATACAAAATGGCAAATCCGATGAATGAATTACATAGAATTATAAATTCCAATCAAGAGAAAAATTTCTAAATATAATTATTTTAGTTATTCCAGTGTCATCAAAATTGGGTATGATCGAATGCCTTGATAATACACCTCCATTAAAATATCTTATTCAAGAATGATATAATGATAATCAACTTTATATAATAACAAATCAAGGTCAACATCCAATAAAACTTTATCAAGATTATGTAACAAATACATATAAAAAACGCTAAACCAACAGCTAAAACAGCTAATAATACAGTAATGTATGCTCAATTATTTCTTAGTTTAACAAAAGCTCAACTTCAAGAAGAATTTAATCATATACAATCAGTTATACCTGATGATTTACTTCGACGTGCTTATTTTAAAATAGCTAATTATCATCAGGCTTTTTATACATAACGTCGACAATTTATAACAAGTTATGCTGTTTTATGTACAACTCAATATATACTTGGTATTGGTGATCGACATCAATCGAAGTATGTTAAATATTCGAGGGACTAAACCCAAGTTTATCTTATTAATTTCCATAAAAGGCGTTATTCCTATGAATAGTTGGTACACCCTGTAGTGCTTAACACAGTATGCATATTCATTAAAAACATGTTCTTACGAAGGAACATTTTCAACTGATCACTTGCTTTATCATCGAAAGCTAGTGGATTTCAAGTTATTGACTATGGTGATTTCGAATAGAACTATGAGAAATTCCCTTAGACCTTTATAAGTTACTTTTCAAGACGAACAAACTTTTTGCCAAAAGTCTCTTTTAATCTGTTCAGATTATAGAGCCTGTCAAATTGTCTAGAAAATAATAACTTCTTTTATTTCAAATCCATGATTAATAATTTATAGTCAATTAACTTTGAATGAGAAAGCACTTTAGAAGTTGAAAACATTTCCTCATTAAATCAAATCACACTTCAGGATTCTATTTAGCAGTAGGGATTTAGATGACACTATACCATATCAAGGTTGAGCTAGTATGAGTATCTATGTTTTCGGACTACGCTATTTTGCTGAGTACGATGTTTTAATGAAAATCCATACTCTTCAAACCAACTATTTAAATGGATAAGATTTTTTACGGATACTAATGAAATAAACGTTGAGTCTAGTCTGAAATCCATGTAATACTTATATTTCATAAAACTATTTAGTTTTATTATTGATACATCATCTGATCAAATAATTGGTATTGATTTTGGTTCAGCATTTAATGCAGCTACGATTCTAAATATGAAATTATATTATTAAATATAGAAAAACAAAATTCTTCTTTTTTTTTTTTGTATTTATTCTTTTAGCATTTACCCGTACCAGAATTAATACCAATTCATTTAACACGACAACTTACACAATTAATGTCACATATTGGTAGAGCTGGTTTATTTCGTGCAACAATGAATGCATTATGTCAAAATTCGGATTTATTAGTTAGTACAATGGATGTATTTATTAAAGAACCATTAATGGAATGGATGGCAAGTTTTTTGTTTATATTATAAAAACAAAACACACACAAAACTAATTTTAATTATAGGAACATGCACTTAAAACAAGTAAACAAGTTGCACAGAATGGGATGGAAATGAAATAAAAAATAACGAATTTTTTCTTTTTTTCTAGAAATAAATATACTTCGTTCGGATGATACCTATGCAAAAGATCGAATTAAAAGTACACGATTTAAACTTAATGGAATTAATCCAACTCTTATAATTGGGTATGAATAAATGAGTAATATCATTTTTTATGAATTTTGTTTTTTTTTTGTTTAAGATCTGATTTGAAATGAAATAGTTTTCTTCGTTCATCAAATTTAAAAGAAGCACGTCATCAAATGGAAAAAGTTGTTCGTGGTGATAAAATAGATAGTAAACGTGCACAAATTTTATTAAAATATAATTCAAATCGTTATCATAAATTAACTGTCGATGAATAAATTGATTGTATTATTGATCAAGCAACAGATGTTGATATACTTGCTCGTTCATCGGCTGGTTTAGAAACATTTATGTAAAACAAATTTTTTTTTTCTATATTTTACAAATAATTCTTTGTTGTCAATATACAATAGTTAAAATTGAAAATTTTTCCATTTTTTTGTTTTTTTGATAATTAGTCAATAAATAAAAAACTAAGATATTTAGAACGATTACTAGAAGAATTATATGTCATACGAATAGAAGTGTAAGACGATACATTATGAATCGGCAGTGGCTCAAATTTTTCAATGCAAAAGAAAGAAAATGATGGTAGAGAACTTATTGACAAGAAACCAGACGGTAATATCTCCAGCAACTGATTTAACACGTTGAAAATTCTTAAAAATTAATATTTTTATTTGTGTCTCGACGGCTCAGCCGATCATTTTTCTATGCTGTTTTCTCTTCTTATTTTATTAATAATTAAGCATAGTCGTTGTTATATCTAGTTATTCCGCTTACGAGGGAAGGTCCTCCAGTGTAAATCACCATTTCAAATGAGAAATATCCCAGTCAGTAGAGCTCAACGAGATGATTCTAGTAGCATAAATCCTTTTTTCCGATGGAGCTTAAAACTAGAAAAATAACGCTATTGAAATCACACTCTGAGAGCAATACTGATTGGGTGGTCTTCATCATGGTACATAGAACCGCAGCGAAATTTTTAGGACAGATACAACTCGTCGAGAGCTACAAAATGGTAAAAAATTATGTGAAAAAATAAACTGTCTTGGGCTTTTCGGATTACAATACTGCTGAAACTCTATCTCGAGAACAGTACTGATAGGGCTATCTACATCGTAGTACATAGAACCAAACCGATATTTCCAGGGCAGATGGAGCTCGTCGATAGATGAAAAATGGGAAAAAGTGATGTAAGAAAATCTGCTGTTCTGGGAAGACTTTGGACCGGAAACTACTAAAGTATATGAAAGTTTGATTTCAACGGCAGTACTGATAAGATAATCTCCACTATAGTTCATCAAATCAGAGTGATATTTTCAGGGTAGACGAAGCTCGCTCTGGACTGTAGTATGGTACAAAAAGCTCTGGAAAAGTCATTATCAGGACACTCTGACAGTGTAGATCATCCTATCAGTACTGTCCTTGAAATGAAATTTTCATAGAATTTTAACAGTGTTTTAGCCAAGAAATTCCCAAGGCAATATATTTTTCCGCATAATTTTTTACCATTTTGCAGCTATCGATGAGTTCTATCTGCTCTGGAAATATCGGTTTGGTTTTACATACTATTGTGGAGATAGTCCTACCAGTGAACCCGTTGGAATGTGATTTCAGTAATCTTGTTTCTCTAGTTTTAACCTCCATCAGGAAAAATGATTTATACCACTAGAATCAGCTTGTCAAGCTCTATAAACTGAATCATCTGAGGCATCTTTGGATTAAAAATAAAATTATTAACTACTGTAAGACATTAAATTTTTGGTGATCATATTTTTATATACTCAGATATTATATTTCATTCACATAGGAATGTCGAAGCAATTCATCGCTCTTCGCAGTGACGAGATCATCGAGGTTTATCTCCTATTTTAAGACAAATAACTTAGAAAATAGTTGTTTCAAATATAAAGCTAAAATACCTATTATTTTAGACCTGGAGAAGAATTAGCATCATTGATTTTTTATTTTAATAGTTCTCTTATTTATCAATGATTTGCAACAGTCTCTGCATTAAGATCTTTTGGATCTATAGAAGAAGTACAAGAGGATAATAGTGAACATATTGATAATATTAGTTTATCTTTGTCCTCAGAATGAATAAATAGATCTGATGTACAAATCAATGTTATAGGGTCTAAGTCTAGTACAAAAATTAAAACCTATAAGACAGTTTAATCAGAAGAAAATCAATCATTATTTATCTTATCAAACTCAAAAGAAATTCATGCGACCGAAGAATTTGTCGAAGAAGATATAAACAAAGAAAAATCATTAATGGATAGTGATGATGAAGAAAGAATTATCAATTCTAAAGGTCGTACTGATCTTCAATTTACGTCTATAGAAATTGGACTTGCTCTGTCAATTTTGAAATCACCTCATTGATTAACTAATATATCTATATCGAATATTTTCAAACTTTTAAAACTTCTGCATGTTTCAAATGCTCCATCTAATTTTGCGTCACGCACGTTCTCTTATATGAAATTTTTATTAAGGAACTATTTTTTGAAAACCTTCAATTTCATGTCTATCTTGTTATAAAATTTTATTTAATTCTATGTATTGTACATGATCTCCAACATATATCAGTAAAAACAAGTTTATTATAAATCCATCAAGAATAAATTATATTCTTCATATTGAACACAATCATTTAATTAACCCTTAAAAGCCGAAGTGGCTTCTGCTTGTAAAAATGAGAATCTAATTAGAAAAAGAGAGATTATGTACCCTCAGTATACTCGTACTATAGTTAAAAATAATTACCGTCTTCTTATTCTGGACTTACGCAACCTCCTCCTTAGGCAGGAATATCCATCCCTGTAAAAATCAGAAAAAATTTGCCTTTAGATAGTATTGATAATACTTAATATGCTCAGAAATTTTCACTTAGAACGGATGCTTTCTTCCTGAGATATTCGAAATCCAAAAATCGGGCAAATTTTGCTAAAAATTGCTAAAAACTTGAACATTCTGTATCTCGCGAACGAAACAGCCGTTGTTCCTGAAAATTTTGAAACTTTCTAAACACTACTAGGGCTATGTATGAGCCAAGTTTCATGTTAGAAATCCATTGTTTTTATTCTTCTATGAGGGTGAATGCCTCACCCAAGGAACGTTTTATTGATCACAGCATAATCTGTCAATAGATCGGTTAAAATATTCTAGAACGCTGACATTGAATAGGTTGATGATATCCTTAAGAGTATAATGTAAAATAAACTATACTGTATGTCGTATTTTCGAATAGATACAACTTTAAGAAAGAAAGATGTTATTGAAAAAAGTCATCAGTCCTAAAAGGTGTTTTGCTACGCCTGACACCCACCTGAATACTACATTTTGGTCTAGGTATGCTCTCGAAGGTCATATTAATCTAGAAAAATATTGATTTTTGTCTACAACGCTTTTATAAGACTTTGATTAGAATTATATAAATGTTCCTTGGAAGGGACATTCGCCTCTTAAGGGTTAAGTTAGAAAATGATGAAAGTATTATTAATGATATTGTTGATTATCCAGTTGATAGAAAACTAGTAGATGCTAAATGAAATTCTTTTATCATAGACTTAATCAATTTTGATGATGCTATAGTAAAATATATTTCTCGATCTATTTGGATTCCTACATTTGTGATAAATAAACTTCTATCTTCTATTAGATTTAATCGAGAAAAGTTAATTGTTAAAATGATATCTATTGACTCATCAAAATCACAAAAAGATAAAATGGAGATTCTTGCAAATAATGATCGTCGTTATAACTGAATTACTTCATTTTTTTTAAATATTCGAAAAAAATCTCTACTATGCATTAATCTTATTGCAGACGGTTGCGACATATCGGCAACATCATTTCTTATCAATCATACTGAAGTAAATTATTATGATGGATGTTCACATTGAAAAATAGTAATTACTTTCATTTGGTTATTTTACTTGAATAAATATCAGATTTAGAAAATTTCGTTGTGCATCACAAAATAATGTCATCGATTTTGAAATGTGTCAATGGAAACAAATGAACATCTCAAGTTATCACTTGAATTTTTTTTTTTGTTCAATCAGAAATCAATTGTTGAAAGTTAATACTTGCTTGGTCATGTTCTAAGTGTTTGTTGAAAATTGTTTCATTTTTCTCGCATAATCGAATATTTCTCGAAACTCAAACTCATCAAATATCAATCTAATATCAAATTCTTATTGTTCTAATCACTTTTCGATCAAAATCAATTGTTAATACATTCTTTGATTGATGAAAATGTCGACGTTCTCCTATCACATGGACATGTCTTTAGTTGTTTTACTCTGTCGTTTATGTTCTAAAACTATGATAGAATTCGACAATTTATATTTATTATCCGTAATTCTAAGGATAAGGAGAGAATTCGAAAAAAATGAAAATGAGCTGCCACTTCATTTATCAATTGTGTAGTTGTCGTTGTATTGTAATGAAAGTCATTTACAAAAACAAAAAAATTGATGATAAAGCTCATGTTTCATTAATGAATTTATTTTTTTTCTCTATAATTATTATTCAGTCAATAATTGGGAAATAACTAAAATAGTTATTTTGAAATTTCCTCCATTTTGATTCTACATACTGCAATATTATCCCAGTTCTTACAGCGACTTTCATAGATCAACTTTTTGTTTTTGTTTCGAAGGATTTCTTTATTCTTTGATACAAAAGAAGAATAATAAAGGTCAATGCATTGAATGTTTATTAATTTTTCAAAAGAAATACTTTCTTTATCATTTTTAATGAAAATTCTAATGAAAATGTAGTCAACAATATAATATATTTCACCATTTCAGATACAAAATTCAAATTGAAAAAATATTTTGTTAATTGATAGCGTGAAGAATAATGAATTTGATTTCATTAATTTGATGTCTCAAAATAAGAAAATCAAAATATCTAGATAAAATTACAAAGAATTTCATTGAGATAATTTTGTTATATAAAATGGATTATACAACTCATATGAAACAAGAATGATTATTGAATGAAATCTTAGTCGTCTTTTATATTCGACACATTCAATTTGTAATTAAGATCTTGTCTTTTTTCTTCTTGGAGGACACATCACAGTGTCAGTTAAATCTATGATAAACTCAATCGTGTATTATCATTCTTAACAAATCATCTTTCTTCATTGAATCAAATTATATTTAAGAATATCTTTCAATTTTATACAAAATAAAACGTTCAAACTTATGTTTGATTGATATTTCCATCGAAATATACAATATATAAATAACATTGA